TACATTCTATACTTGGAAAAACCTTTGGGTAAAACAAGTGAGGTGAGTCAATTTAATTAGGCAAATTCAATCTAATTTAACAATCTGAAAAAGTTCTAAATTTAAATTATTATAAATTGAAAATGCTCCTTAAAAGTGGATTAGGTGAAAAGATAAAACATGCATCAATTAAGATTAAAAGCACAACCTTTTTCTCTCAGTGTTGACATAGTCTGCTGTATTCTGTGCTTTGGATTTTCATTAGATTAAAATTCTGGCTTTAAAAAAAAAAATCCTGTTTTTAGGTTTTGGTATGTAACTTGAGAGATCAGATATTTCATGTTACTTTCCACAGTGAAAGAAGTAACATTCTGAAAAAGTAGTAAAAAGGTAAATACAAATAAAATTCACTGTTAAATTGACACCCCTCAAAACAAACAAAAACAAAAACTTGGTAGGGCAATTCCCAGCCCCCAAATTGGGAAATCCAGAATGCCAAAATCAGATGAGAACCAAATCCAATTTTTATCTCAAAGATTCCCCCTGACGGTATCTGCTAAATGCTGGAGACCTTAAGCTTCTGTTTTGAAGACTATTTTAAAGATTGCAGAGAATAGGAAATAAATCCCTAGGCCCACGTAACATGGGAACTCTAATAGGAGAAATCTGTGTAAAACCAGGACCTCAAAGTATATACTGTGAATAACAATTAATGAGAGATAAAGACTATTTTACTGAAAATAACAGCAAGAAAACGTGCCATTTTCAATTCTGGAACGAGGTGGAAAGGGACAAATCTCTGGAGAATCTGTAACCACAAGGTGGTTTCGTTTTCATATTGATTTGTTTTAGGAAATTATAGTACACAGTCTAAAACCTTGAGAGAGAATTTTTTAAAAATCACTGTTAGAAACAAACATGTATCCTTTTTGGGAAATTTAACTTCAGCTCAAGTTTCCAAAAATAATGAGCAGTTCACAGTCAAAAATCACAAAACATGAAAGAAAACAAGGCTCTCTGCATCAAAACCAGCAAAAACAGACAAAATTTCCAAAAACAATTTTGAAATAATTAAGCAGAAAACAAAATATTGTATATACATAACTACATATATGTAATTTATATGTAACATATATGTATTTGTTGAAATAAATATAAGGCTTGAAAGCAGAAAACTAGCATATTTAAAAACTTATTCAACATAACCCAAAAATGAAAAAATTTAAAAATAAAATTTATTTTTTTTAAGATTTTATTTATTTATTTGACAGAGAGAGAGAAAACACAAGCAGGGGGAACAGGAGAGGGAGAAGCAGGATCCCTGAACCCGCCATGGGGCTCGATCCCAGGACTCCAGGATCATGACCTGAGCTGAAGGCAGATGCTCAACTGACTAAACCACCCAGGTGCCCCTAAAACTGAAATTTAAAACTCAAGGTCTGCATTAGCAGATTAATCATACCTCAGGCAAATGTTACAAACCTGGAGGAACAACTAAAATATGTAACACAGAAGACACAGTAAGACAGAATAATGTAAGTCTACAAAATAGTTTGCTAGAACCAGCTCTGATCAGCTTGCAAGAGATGTTTGTACATTATCTCTTTCCAAGTCTGTTTGTAAACATCACCTTTGGTAGCTCACAACTGACCATGATGGTAATAGTCACACCATGGAAATTTGAAAATGCTATAATCAGGTCTTTTTTTATTTTGAAAAGCCAATGTTAAACATTTACCAGCACATCACTAGGTCCATATAAAATCCCAAAGCATCTAATAGAATAGGGAAGATAGCAGTATCTAGAGATAATGGGGTGATCAGTTTTCAAAATTCTTAAAAGATACCAATTGAGTAAGCCCAAGAACTTAGAGATATTAATTATAAACTTGGAATTTTATATTCACTTAAGAATGAAGGTTAAAGATATAATCATCCAGGAAAAAAAAAAAATAGTAAGGGAATAAGGAAAGTCCAAAGCAGACTAAATTTAAGCAGAAAGTAAACAACTCCACGTTGAAATTTCACATATGTAAACAAAAATTGGTCTTCAATAAGGTGCTAAATGGATACTTCTGGTGAAGCTATTTAACTACTCCTTACTTATTTAATAGTGTCCCCCTATTCCCAAAGGTGAGACTGGCAAATATCTCCAATGACCTCCAATCAATGCAGGTGATTTGGGGTTTTTCTTTTCTAATTCAGCTATCGAGCTATTATGTAAAGGGTCTCCAATTCAAACTCCCACCAGCTCAGGCAGTAGGCTAAAAGCAGCAAAGATGTATCCAGTCCATCATTTTCTCTTTGGGTTAAGACATCAAAATCTAATTGATAGCCTCAATCAAATCAAAAATTTTGTTAGGCTGGCATTGGACTGCAGTTTTTGTAGTCAGTCATTAGTTTATCCTTGATTCTAAGACATAACCATTCTTTACTTCCTCCGCCTAGGAAGGCAGTAGGAGACTCAGTTCTGTCCTTCAGAAGGTTTTAGATTTGCTCTTTGCCATTCAGCACCCCACAGCCTCAGACTTCAGCAAACATCCTGATATACAGAAATGTCACATATTTCAGGCCCATCCAGTCACCACTTTCATCACTGTAACCCAGAGAGAATGCAAAATCTCTGCTGATTTCCTGTTCCTCCACAAAAACCTTCTGTTAGAGACCAAGCCTAGATTCTTGGTCCCCACCTACACCCAGAATCAGGAAGTGCCCCCAGAGGAAATATGGCTACAGGTCCTCAGAATCCATTCAACTCTCCTTCTAGGACTTTAATTTCTTCTTTGTTGAAAGACTCTACCCACCTCAGCCCCACCCCTCACCACAGATCTCTATTTTTTAAAGACTGGTAAACTTTATAAAATTTTGCTCTATTTTTCAGAAGCTTTCTACCGAGCATTTTAACCTTCTGCAGAGCCTCAGAATACAGAAAATGTCTTGTGGAGCAAAGGACCATACAATTGAGGACACTCAGTTCTCTGCTTTCTCACTCTAACCCCACGCAGTTGTTAAAAATTTTGTTGGTTTCTCTTTCCCCTACATAAATTCAGGCTGCGCCAGCAAAGATAAATTTTTCTCTCTGGCCAGGAAAGGCAACTGTGACTGCACTTTGGAATGAAATCTCCACTCTCTGGAATGTTAGTCCATCTAGTCTTCATTGTCTCGTATCGCTATGATGCTTTTAAAATTTGTGTGATTTTGATCTTTTGATATGATCTTTTCAAGTGTTTACAGCAGGAAAGCTGGGTTGCCATAACAGTACCATAAATAATCAGAAAGCAAAAGTACATTTAATTATTAACACTATTCTTTAGAATGTACATATATGTTATATATATACTTGTTTTTAAGATATCACAACAAACAAGTGAACAGATGAGCATATGTGAAATACCTAAGTCCCTAAAACAAACAGCAAACAAACCACACCACCAAATAACGAGCTAATAAAGCATAGTTGAGGTCATTGCTTCCTAGAATAAAGGAAGGTGCTACCTTAGAGTTTGAGTGCCTTTTTGGAAGTTGGAAGTATGAAAATGAATAAAGGGCAACCTAATTTAAAATGAAGGAAAGCCCTGAAGGAGGCGCTCTCGTGCAAATACACATACCACTCATTACTGCCTGCTTAATTAGCAGAAAGAAGGAAGATCACCCCCTGCCCCATAAGGCACTAGTCACACCTCACAACCAGTAAGAAACCTCCACAACCTCAAACTCTTAAAGTTCTTCTCCAGTGAACTTTTTGTTCAAAACAGTCCTCCTCAATTTCTCCTGAAACTGAATGCAAGCGGACCTTTCCATTGTTTCTTTGGACTTGCCATGCTTTGCCATTGTTTGCTTGTCCCAAATTGCAATTCCACTGTTATAAAGTCAGTTGTAAAATAACTTGCTCTTTTGTTTCTTTAGTCAATGGAAGACAAGGGCAGGATGTTTGGGGGTCTGGTATAAGATAGGTCTTTTTATGCAGGGGTTTGATAAGATTGAGAAATATTTTCTAGATAATGGTACAATTGAGGCACAGGCTGAGGTAAGGGAGTTTTGAGGAAGAGTTTTAGAGAACTCTCCAATAGTACACAATCTTTTGAACTCCTTTGAATAATCTATTGTTATGGGAAGGATCCTTGAGGAAGACTAGTGGTATTATCAGATAAATAGATTCTTAGGAAGTTCCTGAAACAAACAATAAAGTTACCTGTAACTTTATATTTTTATTCATGTTTCCTGTCAGACTCATATCATTATATTAATGGAGACAGTTGAATGCTAAAGTTATGTAAATGAAGACATTCTCCTGGTACTTAATGTTATTAAATGTGGTTGGTTTCATTTCCCAAGGAAGAGAAGCCAGTGGTGACATTCCAAAGAACCATTTTTATACGATGATTACACGAATATGAATTTAGAATTTAGGAATATGTCAATAAGAAAGAGAGCAATTTTTTTCAAGAAGTTTTACAACAGAGGGGAAAGCGATAATAGCAAAAAGGATTAGAAGTGTTAAAAGAGCTTTTTGTTGTTTATTTTGCTTTGGCATCCTCTCTCTCTTTAGAAATTGCATTTGCTCTTTCTATATTTTTTTTCTTTTTTTTTTATTTATTCTTATGTTAATCCCCATACATTACATCATTAGTTTTAGATGTAGTGTTCCATGATTCATTGTGCATAACACCCAGTGCTCCATGCAGAACGTGCCCTCCTCAATACCCATCACCAGGCTCACCCATCCTCCCACCCCCCTCCCCTCTAGAACCCTCAGTTTGTTTTTCACAGTCCATCGTCTCTCGCATTTGCTCTTTATTAAGGATATGCTACATATAAATTTTTACTCACTGAGGGCACTTGCCCTCAGGGAGGGCCTGTAAAGAGTGCCTTACCATTACCAGTGATCCTTCCCCCCTCTTTCATGTAGAGCAGACTTAGCATCTTGGGATCATTGACAAGATCTTCCTTAAAATAATAACAAGAAGTAAACACTGAATTTATAAGATGGCATCTCTTGAGGAAGGAAGTGGAGAACTCACTGGGAACACGGACTGCATAACTTTGGTGGCTTCATGAGTCTTCGCATGGTCCTGGATGAGAGTGGAAATGAAGATAAAAAACCCTTTGTTTTTCTCTGGTTTTAAAGTAAAACTTGCCAAAGATTTGGGTGTGGTTCTCAAAGGCAGAAAGGGTAGCATTTAGCGTTTCAAATAGTAGCCAATTCCACTTTAGAACATCTCTGGTTGGGAGCCTCTCTGGAAGACGATTGCAATGGTAACAGATGGAGCTGAACACAAAGAGCTGAAATCTTGTGTTTCGATCAAGTTTAACAATGGGAAGTAAGATCATTTCCCCAGGAGAAAGAATTCCTATAATATATGTGCTGGTATCTGGAGGGAGAAAACTGAATCACAGTGCTCAAATAGCAGCATCTGATACTTCAGCTCTAAAACAGAATTAAAACACACCAGGGGTTGTACAAGACAAACTACACAGATATATGAAGAAAATGTTAAAATTTCTACTTATCTTTAATTTTTATTTTAAAAATGATAGCTCCTTTAAGGTATTTAAGTCTTGAATGCATTAATTGACATGGTAAGCTTTCTCGGGTCTATTTCATGTCTGTTGCATTTATAATGGAAGTTTGAGAGGAGAGCAGGATTTCCACATGAAGGAGCTATCCTCAGGAGTTTGGTGTATTGCTGAACAGTTCTTGTATATTTCCATAATTAGATGGATTTGCTACTTAATCATCCAGTTTTAACTAAACCAACCCATACAAAATGGACAAGTGAGTTAAACAAGATGTCTACAAAATATGGATTGATGATAGTCCCAGTGATTTAAGTACAGGAGGGCAACAAGGTTATAGCAGAGTTGGTAGTTTATTGCTCAAAACTCTCTTCATCTGCCTCATTCTGAGGCAACACATTTGTGACATAACCATGTCTAAAAAGAAGTTGTTCAAAATAATTCAAAGTTATCAGGATTTGAAATTGAAAACTGCATTGAAAAGTAGACTTACACCCATGGGTACCAATAGCCTTATCTTAAGTGTACATTTCCCCTTGAGATATTAGTTACATTGAGATAATGTTAAGCCACTTTTATTAGGAAGACATCTTACTAAATTATATTTTCGAAATACATAATACATTAGTATAAAAGTTCACAGATATGCTCTATACATCAATAAATATACATGTAATATAATGGAGGTATGTAATGTAAAAGTGTGGATATCACCTCAGAATATCTAGATTCCATTTACAAAAGCATAAAAGTTCTTATTTCCACACAAACATTTTCAGGCTGCAAATGGGTATTAAAACTTCTTATTTGAGAAAGATTCAATAAGGAAGGAGGAAAAATATCCTGGCAGTTTCTAAAGATAAAAAACGGATGTAAGGCCCCAAAGTAATTTCTTACAAAGTCATTAAAATTATCAGGATAGGTAAATGCAAAAAAAAAAAAAAATTAGGCAACTGCAACATCTTGAAATTTAGTTCATTTGCAAATCCTCCTCCGGTTGATATAGGTCTATTTTTGTAGTCACACTGTATGGTAGTGAGAAGAAAAGAAGGGTGGACTGATTAAATTCAAGATCTCTTAGGTGTAGGGCGCCTGGGTGGCTCAGTTGGTTAAGTGACTGCTTTCGGCTCAGGTCATGATCCTGGAGTCCCGGGATCGAGTCCCACATCGGGCTCCCTGCTCAGCGGGGAGCCTGCTTCTCCCTCTGACCCTCTCCCCTCTCATGTGCTCTCTCTCTCTCATTCTCTCTGTCTCAAATAAATAAATAAAATCTTAAAAAAAAAAAAAAAGATCTCTTAGGTGTGGAAACCTAATTACAATTTGGAATACATAGCCATGAGGTTCAGGGATGCTGTAAATCTCTAGGTTAGAGGTACAGACTGGTAGGGGATCAGAGTCCTAGCTTGAAGTATTTCCTTTGATTTGCATGCTACTAGATTCCAAATGCTTTGCAGTACTATCCTCAAAATAATTGATATTAATTACATTTCACCATTACTACCACCACCATTACCACCACCACTAACAATAAAAGAGGTATGGGATACTGTAAAGTTTCTAAAGCAAAAAACAAAACAAAACAAAAAAACCACACATAACATCTATCAGGTTTTAGACTAGGTCTCTCCAGTTTCAATCCTCATGATTTTCAACAATGTCCTCAGTGCCCAAATTATTCTGCCAAGACCCAAAGGACTTCAGGAAATCCTTCAGGCACTGTTATGATGGTGGGAGGCAGGAAGTTTATTATAATTAACTTGATTTTACTCTCTAGTCATTTTTATAAGCAAAATTCTCTTTTATATTAGATTCTAACTTCTCCATTACAAACGCTGAAATTAAGGACACTGTTTCTGATAGTGTATAGTAACTTAATTTTTGTAAGTGCTACTTCTCCTGTAGATACTACAATCTCCTTGCAGAAATTAAATGAATGGGTACAAAGATATTTGTTAGGCACAAATTTCTTAATATTTAGAAACAAAATGAGACAATGATAAGAAAATGAATAATGCATCCATTTCTAATGAGGTTTTTCAAGAAATATAAATATCTCAGAAGGAAAAAATGCCATTTAAATTGCTTATTTTTATCATAAAATAAACTGAACCTTACTAAAATTGCATTAATAAGTAAATATACCCTGTACTTTACACAGTACTTATCTAACATATTCTGATCACCATGCATAAAGAAATTATGACTTTTATCTTTGATTCTATCTCTGTATTGATAGAATTTTTGAGTTAAATTCAACTGGACAATAAACTTAAAAAAAAAAAATGTGGCCAGTGTTTGAATATATCTTTTAAGTTTACTCAAATTAGGAAAGCTAAAATTCCTCATTTCACACAAACATTTTCTAGGCTGCAAAGGATATTAAAACTGCTTATTTTAGAAATATTCAATAACTGTTGAAAAATACTGGCATTTTTCAAAGATAAGAATTAAATCTTTGAAGCATCCTCTTATAAAGTCATTGAAAGTAACAAAACAGGTGACTTTATCATCCTCAAATTCAGTTCATCTGCAAATCTTCAATAAAATGTTTTTATATAAATCTTTACGTTCTCTTTAAAAGTAATATCAGAGAAACTATCTGCTTTTACTAGATTATCTTTTAAAATGGGAGACACAGAAAATCAGTAAATGAGGTTATATTACTAATTAGCATATTGTCTCCACTACCTATAGTCCACTACAAAAAACTGTGGCTTCCATTTTATCACATAGATGAAACAGTTATCTTTCAGGGTTTGAAATTTCTGTGATCTTTATGCTTAATAAGCTCAGTAAAAGGCATTCAAATTACATCACTTTTGTCTTGGAAGTTAAATTGGGAAATATTGCATTCTCTGAGATGATAAACTCTGCAGAAGATAAATTATCATGAGAAATAGTTTTAATTGATTTACCATAATAAAAGTTATGTGACTTTGAAGTGCAAATGACACATTAAAATGAATCTACAGTATGTTGATAATAAAGTGGCTTCTTTGTTAATGGAATTACTGACACTGCAGATGCTTTCAGGAGTGATGTCTTCTACTGTTAATCAAGAGACTACAATGTAAAAATGAATGTGCTGTTTATTTAAATCTCAGCCCACCTTTCTTCCTTCTTGCTTCAGAGTAGTTCGATACTCAGGTTTGAAAAATGGAGATCCTGGTCATCACAGTTAATATCATTTTGGCTGATCCACTTCTGCTTTTTCCTGAACATCTTGACTGCAATCCCAAGGTCTCCCTGTTTGGAAATCAGAAAGACTGTCAGAGGAGGCACATGATAAAGTTCATGATGGAGTTCAGGATTAGATGCTTCTATAAATATGTAGATTAGTAAATTTTTTTTCACATATAAACCTTAACAGTACATGTTCCAAAAGTTTCGAAACAACGAAGAACTGATTAAGTTCTTCTTTCCAGTTTATCTTTTAACTCAGGCAAAGCATCCTGTGAGAGGAAACCGAAACTACCACCCCAGGCAATAATGACTGCCCTGAAGCCAGCCAGACCCTGTATGATTGACTCCAAGACAATGACCAACATGCCCTTTACTGCTCCCTGCATGGACCCACTGACCTTTGTCCTACATTGTCCTTGTATAAACCTAGAAGTATTTTCAGCACTTTGGAGATAGGCTTTGGGACATTAGTCCACTGATGCTGACCTCACTGAAATATATTCCTTTCTCATTTCGCTACCACTGTCCCTCTGCCTTTGGATTTTGTCAGTGACAAGTGGATTGTCTGGGACTCTCAGAGCCAGACACTCTTGCACTCTTGGGCCCAGGTTACATTTCATAATCTATGACTCTTCTTCAATTATCTTCTATAAAGAAAATCCATTTTTAGCTTAAGTATCAGAATAGTTTGAACACTATTCTGGTTTGGTTTATTTGCCAGTCATTGTGTTAAGCATACAACTCATCAGTTACCAGTATATGATTCTACTTAATCAGTAACAGTATGTAGAAGTAAAGGTTAGGACTCTCAACCTCTGTTTTGTAACTGAAAAGAAAATTAAAATCCCCTGCTGTTCTCATCTTCCAAGAATTGTGATTTGGTTGGAGAGGTGTGGAATGAGATGAGACAGGAATACAGAAATACATTATGGTTGTTTCAATGGAAGGCTCACTGACTGTTATTGGAACAACATAGAATCTGTAAGATTAAACATTAGTTTACTTGCTCCAGGAAATTCTGAAGAAGAATCCTGCAGTGATATAGAGAAGGTTACTATCAACAGGAATTATAAATGTGAGAACCATAAAATCCAATAATGATGTATTCAATACCTACCTCTGACATTCATGTGATCTTATGTCTCCAGAATTAACACAAATTTTCTTATTTACCAAATTCTTTATGCTAAATTTAATAGAAAGTGTTCACTCGTCCTATATTATAAAAACTGATAGTAAATTATAAAATTCTGTTTTAAAGACTCAGTTGCAAAAAGAAGGAAAAACACAAGTTTTGTAAGTAACATTGTTACTTGAGATAAAAATTGACTATACTGGTATATATACACTATGTGTATAGATTCTAAGAGAAGCCAGGATAAAAATAGTAATGCTTATATGATAACAGTAAAATAGCTAGAAAGGGAAAACATTATAAAACATATTATTTTAAAAGTATTAAAGACTAAGTAACAGTAATTTTCTCAGAGCCATTTTCAAACCAGTAATAGAATTTCTAGGAATCGAAAATAAACAAATTTCAAAAGCTGGGAAAAGCAAATATTTGATATTTCAATTTGGAATTGTTTCTAAGGATATTATTGTGTGGTTTTTGTAATCCTGTTAATCTACTTTTTGATAATTCTATCATCTTGATAGAATTTATTCTTTGAAGACTTATTATTTAATCCCAAAAAACACTGAGCTGTGGTTAAAATTGCAGAGGCAAACATCAGAAGTTTTTGAACGTGCATTCATTTACCAATTTGCACCACTCATGCATTCTTTATCCTTTCAACCTGGAAAGCTTCTATCTGATTTTTTTAGTGGCTGTTTAAACAAAAATACATGTTTATCTCTTTAAAATTTTGCCAGGAAGCTGTCACTTTCCCATTTACTCAAGCGATGTTGTGACAGAATGTGTCAGCTTCTCACACAAATGAAAAGAGATATAGACCTGTATTTACTTTAGCTGAAAAATAAGTAGTCATCAATTCAGAGAAAAGTGTTTTCCCATCTGAAAAGATGAAGTAAATAGGAGTGGTTGAGAGAGTATTTCCTAATACATAAAAGGCAGATGTAAACCAAACATAGAATGCTGATCCATTTTTGGTTCTCATCCTGGAAGTGGATAATCTCATGGTATGTAGAAGTTGGTGCTTCACTATGTGTCTTTTGCAGTATGTGATTTTGTTTTAAAAATGATAAATGTTTATGCAGTTAACCTTCCCACAGTCTCTCCTATGCAATCTACAATATCCAGAAATTTAAATGGAGATAAGAAAAAGTCATCTTCAAGAAACAGTTTTCAGAATCGTATCAGATTCAAAACAAACATAATTGTTAGAGATTGGCCCTAAACTTTGCACTCTAATGATAACAGTGATCTCACTAGACACTGAAACATATGTTTCATTATATATATTTTTATGAAAATATTTTATTTTTATGAATATCATAGAATGAAATTTTATTAAAAATGATACTGAATGCACTGAAATTAGTAATACTGACACTGAACAAAGGAAGATGGGCAAGCATAGGCTTTTGCTCAAAAATGGTTAGAGTTGTATAGTTAAATTGAAAGCAACCACTTTTTAATAGATTAGAGGGAGCAACCCAGCCTCAGAGAAGAAAATGAAGTTAGGCATTTGGGGTATAATCATCTGTCTCTGACTGGATATTTGACCTCTGTAGATTTGTTAACTACAGGATACCTAAATTCTCTGGCTCTGTTTTCCCCTCTGTTAAAAGGAGCAAAATGAAACCTACTTAATAGGATTTCTGGGGTACCTGGGTGGCTCAGTTGGTTAAGCATCTGACTCTTGATTTCGACTCAGGTCATCATCTCAGGGTTGTGATATGGAGCCCTGCATCAGCTCCAGCTGGGCGTGGAGCCTGCTTAAGATTCTCTTTCTCCCTCTGCCCCTCCCCGCTTGTGAGCTCTCTCTCTCTAAAAAAAAAAAAAAAAAAAAAAAGAGGATTTGTTTGAGAATTTCTATGAATCTAGAAGTCATTTCTTATATTTAATATATATATGAAAATTTCAACTCTGCAGCCATTTAGATTTTCCTTTCAATTGACTATTCAGTGAGAGTTTAGAGGTACAACCTGAATATCTTAATTTCTCTCTTTATTTTAATCTAGGAAAGAAAAAAAGAAAGGGAAGGAAGGAAGGGAGAAGGAAGGAAAGAAAGAAGGAAGGAAGGAAGGAAAGGAGGGAGGGAGGGAGGGAGGAAGGGAGGGAGGGAGGGAGCAAGGAAGGAAAGAAGGAAGGAAGGGAGGGAGGGAGGGAGGGAGGAAGGAAGGAAGGAAGGAAGGAAGGAAGGAAGGAAGGAAAGAAAATAAGCAAGGCAGCCACCACTGTCCACAATGTCATATATGAATTTTAGGTATCACGAAAGTCATCTCAGGGATATCTGAGATTTCCACATGAATATTTTACTTTCATGTTTCCATTTTAGTATTAAACTAAAAATTAATGTTAGCATTAGAACACTGTTCACTGGACAATCACTTAAATCTAAGCATTAGTAAATAATTTTAGCATTCCTGTCTTTATGTTCATGATCTCATTAGCACCACATCATAATATTTTTCATGTTGTTTGTTAATGAGAAAATGACAGGAATATTTAATACATAAATAGACACTCATTATTAAATGAACGTAGTGATATCTTGATCCATCACAATAAAGTTCTGTAATAGTTAAAATAGAAGTCTAAAATAATTCATTTAGAGTGAACACATGGAACCTATGTCCAGCATAGGCATGCCAAACTCCAAAGAATATGGCTATTGGAGTTACACCAGATTCATAGTTTGAATGAGGTTTCAATTTCAACCTCAAAAACTTGTTTTTCATTAAATTAATTTTATTTTTTCTAATTTTTATTATTCTGTACTTTTGGTTGCATTTAAATTGTTTATTTTGTTTCTATTTTCCTTTTTTTTTTTAAGGATTTTATTTATTTATTTGTCAGACAGAGAGAGAGAGAGCGCACAAGGAGGGGGAGCGGCAGACAGAGGGAGAAGCAGGCTCCTCGCTGCGCAGAGAGCTTGATGTGGGCCTCGATCCCAGGACCCTGGGATTATAACCTGAGCTGAAGGCAGACAATTAACTGATGAGCCACCCAGGCATCCTTGTTTGTCTTTTCATTACATTTTTATGCATACGGTTCTAGAATACTTCTAAAGAAAAAAAAAAAAAAAACTTTGCCAACTCCCACATATTTTGTACCTCTTAGAGGCAACTAATTTCAACTATTACAGCTATTTATTTTGGTATTTACCTCCAAGTCTCTAAAAATATAAGTATATTGCCTATTTTTTATTTCAAATTTTAATTTTTCTCTATTATCTTCTACGGGTAAGGTGAGAATTTAGCTTTCTTTCATGTACTCCCACCTCACCACTTCTCATCCCTTGAGTTGTCAGATATATCAAATAAAACATAGCACAGCCAGCTAAATTTGAATTTAATGTACAAATAAGGTACAAAAACAATTTTTTTGGTATAAAAATGTTTTAAATCCTATTTACTTATACAAAAAAATTGTTTACCTGAAATTCAAATTTAAGTGAACATCCTGTATTTTACTTGGTACCCCTATCCCTCTTCAATCTTTCAATATAATTATGTAAGCATTTGATGGGAGTATCATTCACTGGGGACACAACTGTGATCCTGTAAACTATTCACAAATGAGCCTTATATTTGCCATGATCATCGTAACCTTTCTTGCACAACCTTTTGTTTTCTCTGGAATTTTCCTCTTGAACTTTTTAATTTGTGTAGATTTTAAACCCAGTTTATACACAAACTTTTCTTAACAGCCTAAATCTTCTTTTATTTCCCTCACATACCTCAAGTATTCCATCACTTTCTGTTTCCTAGAAATGTTTCTTCTCTGCCATTTTGGATGCATAGCATAAACACAGATGCTTCCTTCATTATCATTCTGGGGGCTAACTTTGTCATTTTCTTGAGATAGATCCCCTTTTTCCTAGATAAACTCTCATGTGTTTTGTTTTTGTTTTTGTTTTTTTTCCTGATTCACTCCATT